GCCCCCATCTACCCCATCAATCTGCCCCTTCCCCACTCAACCTCCCCACCTCCCATCTACTGATGATCAGAAGCCAAAAAACCACTCGCATTCACCTGGAGAAGATTGAATTAAATCTAAAACAGAAAAAGGAAGTTGTGTTATCTTGTTCATAACATAACAGTTACTTCGTTGTTGTAGATTATGAGATCTGTTAAAATAAAGATGTTTTCAGACATGAACTGAATTCTGAACATTATCTAGAGGGTCTGTCTGGATAATGTTTGGATAATGTCCAGTAAGTGAGTCCATGTTAGAAAACAGCAGGAAAACATCTGGAACCTTTCCAGTGAGCGAGTGAACGTGTTGCTGAGGTTTCCAACACGTGACGTACGTGAAATTGGAAGAACACAAATATCTCAGGATGAAGAAGAGGAGCCATACACGTAGAAGACGTTAACTTGGAGAGACAATGGCTGTGAGGGTTAACCCTAACCCTTAACCGCATGATATATGTGACTAATGGGTTTAATGCATCTTGGGGAAACGTGGGTAATACTTGAGGATTTGGGACGTGAGGACCTCTCTCCATCAGGGGACAGGAAGTGGAGAGAGTCTCCTCCATCACTGAGGTCCTCACATGGTCCAACACCTTCACTGCTATAGTGAAAAACAACCCGTCTGAAGAAGTGCTCTTTTATCAATTTTCCAGTCATAGACTATTCTGGTTATATTTACAGTGCCCATTACGATTCCTATGATATGATGCTCTTATTTTACTAATTATATTTTTATCTTTCTTGCTATTTATGTAATTATGAATGTGGACAGTTTGTGCAGGAATGAGTGTATTGTTTTTTAGGTGCACAGCACATTTCGTTTGTTCATTTTGTTCAAGGAAAATAAAGCTGTCTAATTCTAATTCTGATTATTCATACTTTTATTATCAGTTAGATTGTTGTAATTCTCTAACAGTCGTGGTTAATACACAGCTGTTGCTGTACTGGAGAAAGAGAGTGTGATCACATGACACCTTAAGATTTTAAACAAGCTTTCACTTCTTTAATTAGTTGAGCTGTTGCACCTTCCCAAGCTCTGAGGTCGACCGACATGATTCGTTCACTCAAATGTTAGCTGTAGTTGAATCACTGAAGAGCCACTTCTTCTCACTGCCTTTAAATTCAAGTTCAAGAGCTAATTCTGTTATTGGGGAATATTTTATAAATGTTTATGATGTTTACCATTTTTTTTTGTAATGTATTTTCTATTTATTCTGTCAGCTGTGGTTGTTTTATGCATGATATGTGACAAAACAATGACTTGACTATATCAGTATTGTGTCAGTGGTTTATACAGGGAAGCGTCTCCTCCTTTTCTGTTTACTGACACTTAGCGTCCTGAGTTTGTTTGAGGGAAATAGATGAAGTTGCTCTTTGCTTTGTGAAATGAAGCAGCTCTGCAAACATCAGCTGCAGCTCGCTCCATTTACTAATGTGAGTTCAATGAAAAAGTCAAAAGTGTCAGGAAACTCTTTACATTTCAGTCTAAATATAATTTACTCTTATTTTCTATTTAATGACTTCTTGTGATTAATGGCATCAAATGTCTTGACGTGTTTATTCCTTCATGTTATCTCATATATAACATTTCAATCCTGTGTTTTTATCTTGTTGTTACATCCTCTGACTAACTGATGTTTAATGTATGTAACCTGTTGAACTTGAGTTATAACATCAGTCTATGTTTTTAGATGATGGATGGATGAATGGATGATGATTGATGGATGGATGATGGATGAATGGATGGATG